GACAGGGCTCTCCGCTTTCTCCACTCCTATTCAATGTAGTTTGGGAATTCTTAACCAGACAAGAGCAAGAAATAAAAGGGATTCAATAGGGAAGCAAGAAGTCAAACTATCCCTATTTCCAGATGACATGATCCTATACCTAAGAGACCCCAAAAAACTACTAGAAATCAAACTCTTTCAACTAAGTAACAGGATACAAAGTTAACATACAGAAATCAGTAGTTTTTCTATATACCAACAACGCACAGTCTGAAAAAGAAATCAGGGAAACAATCCCATTTACAATAGCCTCAAAAACAATAAAGTACCTTGGAATAAGTTTAACAAAAGAAACCAATGATCTTTTTAATGAAAACTATAAACCACTGGAGAGAAACCAAAGAAGATACCAGAAGATGGAAAAACCTTCCCAGCTCATGGATTGGTAGAATTAACAGTTGTGAAGTGGCCATACTACCCAAAGCAATCTACATGTTTAACATAATCCCTATCAAATTCCAGTTACAGTCTTCACAGAAATAGAAAAAGTAATTGTGAAATACATATGGAAACACATATGTTTGCCAAAACAATTCTGAACAAAAAGTCCAAAGCCGGAGGCATCATAATACCCAACTTCAAACTATACTACAGAGCCATAACAATAAAAACAGCATGGTATTGGCACAAAAACAGACAGGAAGACCAATGGATCAGAATAGAAGATCCATACATAAACCCACGCATCTATAGCCAACTGATCTTCAACAAAGAAGCCAAAAACCCATGATGGATAAAAGACGCCCTTTCAACATAAGCTGCTGGGAAGCTGGATATCCACATGCAGAAGACTGAAACTAGATCCCTGTCTTTCACCCTGTACCAAAATCAATTCGAAGTGGATCAAAGACTTTAATATAAGGCCTGAAACTTTGAAACAACTTCAAGAAGCAATAGGATAAGACACCTAAAAAATTAGCTAACATTTGTTGCCTTAACGCAGAGAAACTAAAGCAGATACCTTAAAAGCAACTGAGGCCAACAGGAGAAGGGGACCAGGAACTAGAGAAAAGGTGAGATCAAAAAGAATTAACCTAGAAGGTAACACACACGCACAGGAAATCAATGTGAGTCAATGCCCTGTATAGCTATCCTTATCTCAACTAGCAAAAACCCTTGGTCCTTCCTCTTATTGCTTATACTCTCTCTTCAACAAAATTAGAGATAAGGGCAAAATAGTTTCTGCCTGGTATTGAGGGGGTGGCGGGGGAGAGGGAGGGGGCGGAGTGGGTGGTAAGGGAGGGGGTGGGGGCAGGGGGGAGAAATGACCCAAGCATTGTATGCACATATTAATAATAAAACAATAAAAAAAAAGAAGCAATAGGAAATACATTGGAACAGATAGGTAGAGGGAATGATCTCCTAAACAGAACTCAAAAGACTCAGCATCTAAGAGAAAGAATCAACAAATGTGACTGCATCAAACTACAGAACTTCTGCATAGCAAAGGAAACAATCACGAAAATCAAGAGACAGCCCACAGAATGGGAGGACGTCTTTACCAGCTATTCATCCAACAAGGAACTAATATTCAGCATCTACAGGGAATTCAAAAAACTCAGTCCCTAAAGAATCAGCACCCTAATGAAGAAATGGGCACATGAATTAAACAGGAAATTGCCAAAAGAAGAGGTACAAATGGCCAGTAAATGGAAGAAGAAATGTTCAACTTTCCTGGTTATAAAAAAGATGCAAATCAAAACAACACTTAGATTTCATCTCATCCCAGTTTGAATGGCCATAATCCAGAGGAATAACAATAACAAATGCTGGTGAAGATGTGGCAAAACAGGAACCCCCATACACTGTTGGTAGAAATGCAGATTATACAACCACTATGGAAAGCAGCATGGAGATATCTCAAAAAACTAGAGACAGAACAGCCATATGATCCAGTGATACTGCTCTTGGGCCTCTACCCAAAAGAATGTAAAACAGGAAAACAGTAGAGACACCTGTACACTGATGTTCATCACAGCACTATTCACAATAGCCAAGCTCTAGAAACAACCCATATGTCCTACAACTGATGAATGGATCGTGAAATTGTGGTATATGTACACAATGGAGTATTACTAAGCCACAAGGAATAATGACATGGAGTTTGAAGGTAAATGTATGCAATTAGAGGACATCATGTTAAGTGGTTAGCCAGAATCAGAAACACAAAAGACACATGTTTTCTCTCATATATGGAAGATGGATCCAATGATAAACATACACACACAAACAAGCATGATATTATACAAACTCAGTTGTAAAACATGTTTGTTAACAGTGGAACTACTCTATGGAAACTGGGAAAAGAGGGAAAGGAAAAGAGAAAGACTATCAGTAATATCTCATACCATACGATGGGAAAGTAGAAGAAATAAGGATGTGTATTGAAAACTGTTGAAAAACAGCCGGTAGGAGGTAAAGGGATAAGGGAAAGTATTTGAAGGGATTGAACAAACCAAAGTAAAGCACACCCACAGTGAGCACACATTGAGACACCCCTTCAAATGTCAACTCAAATATTAATTATGAACCAGGACTGTAAAATAGGCACAATGTGTGCAGCAGGGAGGGCAGGTACTAGTGAGAGGGGAGACAGGTGAAGAAAGGCGATTAAGATGATAGCATATGGTTGATGAACTTCATATACCTATTAGAGAGAACTAAAAATCCTCTTGCAATTGCTTTGAGTGGGATGGGGAAGGGGTTGAGAAGGAGAGATGATGGGGGCAATGTAAATAATGTACTATATAAGATTAATCAGAATTGTCACTATGAACCTCCTCCCATACAACAGATATATCCTAATAAAAAAATTTTAGAATAAAAAAAAAAAGATGAAGTCACTACAGAAACAATACAGGTAAGTCTTGAATTGAGGGATATTTTAAATGAATAAGCAGGAAAGAGGATAGGATGATGAGGATCAAGGGCAAACACTTTAGAACTATGGCAATAATAACTAACATTTATTGATTGGACACCATGAGCCAGCCACCATTTCAAGCACATTACATGTATCAAGTCAGGTAAACCTGGCAACTTTCCAAAGACAGATGATTTTGATTACTGCCTTATATGAGATGAATGAAAAGAGCTTAGTTAATCATTTGCAAACATCAGAGAGAGGAAAGTGGCAGAGCTGGGTCTTAACTCAAGGATGAAGATGAAGTAAGAAGATGAACAGAGGCAAGAAACCTAGAGGAAATGTGATCATACAACAGATAGAACACCAAAGTCACAGCCATCTGACTTCTCCTTTTATTTCAATCACTCATTCTACATAATGAACAAATGAGGGAAGTATGAAGGGCAATCATAAAAGAAGCAAAGAAGTTAAAGCATTTGTGAGAGTGGAAAAGAGGTACCAGGTTAGGAAAAATGTTAGGAAACAACATTCAGTCTCTAAATGATCAGATCTCCCATGTCCATTGAGTAACTAGCCTGAATGTTTACAGAGCTTGCAGATGTATTCATGAAATCCCATTCATATTCCTTAGCAACCAGGGATGATTCAAGATGCTGAAGGACCAGAGTTTAACAAATATTGGGAAGTGTTTAGGAGGGAAGAAATCTAGATTTCAGAAATTACAGCTAAGTACAGTTCCAATGTACTCCCCAGAATGCTAAACTGTAAAACATTTTATTATAGATACATTCCATGGAGATGTGATAGGCTACTAAGTGCTTTATTTTGTGGAAATTCCATTTTTTAAAAAAAAAAGTATATATGAGTATCCAATAAGTGCCTTCTTGAATCATATATTTTTAATAGGTGGAGATAGGTAGAGGCAATGAATAACTGAATACCTTAGATAAGGTAAGGGAAGCTATTTATAGGATGAAGGGGGAAGGTCCCTCTTATAGGGTGAACTTTTGAGAAGAAAGTGCCACACTCAAGGATGTAGAGGAAAAGAAATTCAGGTAGTGGGAAGTGCAAGTGCAATGGTCCTCTGGTAGGTCAATGCTTGGTGAGTTTACCAAACAGAAAAGATGCATGTGGCTGACGAAGGGAAGGAGACAGCCTGTATCGTGGATGACATCTGAGAAGAAACAGAGGTCCTCACTGTGCGAGTCCATAGGCCACTATAGGCACTTAGCTTTCATGAGGAGGGAGATTAGAATCCCTGACAGTTTTGAACAGAGCAATGACCTAAGTTATATTTTATCAGGATGATTACTGTAGCTTTGTGGAAAATGGGATAAGAGAGTGGGGATGGGAAGCAGAGAGCAGTTAAAAGGTGTCTGCAATAGTCCAGGCCAGATAATGCCCTTCCCTCCCCCTTCATAGCAAGATGCTGGTCTTACTCAGGTCAATACCCCTCTTGCAGAGCATAGTGTCTGGCACAACAAAGACAAATGAATGAAACTATCATTGCCTTTGGCAATAACAACAAAAGCTGCAGTGCCAGAGGAAAGCGATTCACTTGTCCAGAGTAAAGCTTGTCTATGGTAAGAGTCTTGCCTCAGAAGTGATAGAAGAAGTACAAATGGAAAAGGACAAAAATATCTGTTTTGCCTTCTGCCAGTTTCCTTGAAACCCATAAACAAATCCTACTCTTTTTCACTCCCATAGGTCCAGATGGGCATGCAAAACTGGGCTCTATCTGGTTGGAAAACTGAGAGCCTATCTTGTTTGCAACCCTAAAGCTGTATTGTGGCCCTCTGGGGAAGCTGTCATACAGGAATCTGGATTTATTAAAAGCTTCTGCATCATCCAAGAGTTAGAACCATCAGTCTTCCACCCTTGTGGTGAGCATTTGTGTGTATCCAAGAGATAGTCTAAATCAACAACACCCCTCTAAGTTCCTGTCCTAGCATTTTTTGTGCCTACTTTGGGATAGAACTAGATCAATAGCTGGATGCCTTGTAAAGGAAGGTCCTGGTTAAGAAGGTTTTGTTACACTTCCCTGCTGAGTGATATCTGAGTCTTAAGTAGATTAGTCAACCAGAGAAGACACACCATGCTTACTCTCATCCCTGTCTTAACTGTGTCTTCTGAAGCCAAGACTGCATTTCTGTTCTTTTCAATCCTGGAATTTGCAGTGGGAATGCTGGCCAATGCATTTATTTTCTTGGTGTATTTGTGGGATATGGTGAAGAGGCAGCCTTTGAGCAACTGTGATCTTGTGCTACTGTGTCTCAGCATCACCCAGCTTTTCCTGCATGGGCTGCTACTGCTGAATGCCATCCAGCTCACCTTCCTCCAGCAGATGAAAGACACACTAAGCCGCAACTACCAAGCCATCCTCATGCTCTGGATGATTGCAAACCAAGTCAGCATCTGGCTTGCTGCCTGCCTCAGTGTCCTCTACTGCTCCAAGATTGTTCGTTTCTCTCACACCTTCCTGCTCTGTTTGGCAAGCTGGATATCCAGGAAGGCCTGCCAGGTGTTCCTTGGCACTCTGTTTTTCTCCTGTATCTGCGCTATCCTCTATTTGCAGGACTTCTTTAGCAAATCTCACTTCACGGGTGTAGCTGTGTTACCTGTGAACAATACAGAATTCAACTTGCAAATTTCAAAACTCAATTTCTTTTACTCATTTCTCTTCTGCAATGTGGTGTCTATCCCCCCTTTCCTATCTTTTCTGGCTTCTTCTGGTATGCTGATTTTCTCCCTGGGAAGGCACATGAGGACAATGAAGTCCCAAACCAGAGACTCTTGTGACCCCAGCTTGGAGGTCCACATCAAAGCCCTCATATCCCTGGTTTCCTTTCTCTGTTTCTATGTGGTGTCTTTCTGTGCTGCTCTCATCTCAGTGCCCTTACAGATGCTGTGGCACAAGGCAGGAGTGATGGTTTGCATAGGGATGATGGCAGCCTTTCCCTCTGGATATGCAGCCATCCTGATCTCAAACAGTAACAAGCTGAGGAAGACAGTGGAAACCATTCTATTCTGGGCTCAGAGCAGCCGAAAGGTAAGGACAACCCAGAAGGCAGATCCCAGGATACTTTGCTAAGAATAGATGAGAAATGGGCTCTTTACAACTATGCCTTTGATAGTTCAGGAATTCTGATTCTTGGTAAACCTTCCAGTTTCTTACGTAAAACCTAACTGGAAATCTCTCTACTTAATATAAATGGTCTCACTCATAGAAGAATAAAATAATCAAAGCTCTATAAGTGACCTAGGCAAGGATAATAGTGTTGGTTTGATAAAATGAGCAAAATAGAGAGGCGAGATATTCAATGTAAATCCTTTATAAACTGTAGCTTATCATTGCTTGGTATGAACTAAACCATGAGAACCCTCCTCCTCTAAAGGTATATGTAACTTTAAAGATAATATGGCTGTCTTTTAACATGACTTTTTCTCAAAATTAGTGCTAGCATAATATTTGAAAATACTCACTACTGTGACAATTAAATAACCCCCTTCAAACTCCAAAAGTTTTGTGGAATCATAAAATGTGAAAAAGAAAAACCTGGAGAGGGAGGCGGCAGCGTCCGGGGCGGGCGGGAGGTGCACCAGCGGCGGCGGCGGCGGTAAATCCTCCCGGCCGCTCACAGCGCTGTGGAGCCGCGTCCCCAGCCCGGCCTCGGACCGCGCGCCCCTCCTGCCCCTCGCGGCTTCTCGCGCGCCCGCCCCTCCCCCGCGCGCGGCCTTGCCGAGCCGGCCGGCCGGCCTGGCTCCCCTCCCCGGCCCCGACGGGCGGGCAGACTGCCCTGAGGAGGCAGGGAGGGGAAGGCTGGGCCGGCCGGCGGGTGGGCAACGATGCCGAACTTCTGCGCGGCCCCCAACTGCACGCGGAAGAGCACGCAGTCAGACCTGGCCTTCTTCAGGTTCCCGCGGGACCCGGCCAGATGCCAGAAGTGGGTGGAGAATTGTAGGAGAGCAGACTTAGAAGATAAAACACCTGATCAACTAAATAAACATTATCGACTATGTGCCAAACACTTTGAAACCTCCATGATCTGTAGAACTATACATTTTGCAGAGGCATCAGAAATCTAAAGAATGATTGGGTTATTTTATTTCTCAAAATTAATTGAATCCCTCCCCGGCCCCGACGGGCGGGAGACTGCCCTGAGGAGGCAGGGGGGGAAGGCTGGGCCGGCGGCGGGTGGGCAACGATGCGAACTTCTGCGCGGCCCCCAACTGCACGCGGAAGAGCACGCAGTCAGACCTACCTGGCCTTCTTCAGGTTCCCGCGGGACCCGGCCAGATGCCAGAAGTGGGTGGAGAATTGTAGGAGAGCAGACTTAGAAGATAAAACACCTGATCAACTAAATAAACATTATCGACTATGTGCCAAACACTTTGAAACCTCCATGATCTGTAGAACTATACATTTTGCAGAGGCATCAGAAATCTAAAGAATGATTGGGTTATTTTATTTCTCAAAATTAATTGAAGCAGATACTTGTGAAGTCTGTCATTGGGAGAGTCCTTACAGGACAGTTCTTCGAGATAATGCAATACCAACAATATTTGATCTTACCAGTCATTTGAACAATCCACATAGTAGACACAGAAAACGAATAAAAGAATTGAGTGAAGATGAAATCAGGACACTGAAACAGAAAAAGTTGACGAAACTTCTGAACAGGAACAAAACATAAAGAAACAAACAACAGCGTACTCAGAACCCCAGTGCAGAAGCAGGTGACCAGAAGGATATAGACATTTTATCTTTAACCCTCAAAGAGAAGGAAAACAAAGAATATCTAAAATCTTTATTTGAAATTTTGAGTCTTATGAGAAAACAAAACGTACCTGTGGATGCGCTTGAGGCTAATGAAATCCTAGAAGGTCTCTTTATGCCTAATAACTTTCAGGCACTGTTTGGAATGCCGGATAAATTCTGGTGAAGAAGTCCTGAGAAAGCGCTTTGAGACTAAGCAGTTAACACATTGTTCTGTTCTAAAACACAGCATGGAAAGATGCTAGAGATCTGTGAGAGCTGCATTCGGGAAGAAACCCTCAGGGAAGTGAGAGACTCACACTTCTCTTCCATCATCACCGAGGATGTGGTGAACATAGCAAGGGAGAGCACCTACCCCTGTTGGCGAGGTTTGTTGATGAACCTCATAACCTGAGAGAAGAATGTGTGGGCTTCCTGCCTTATGAAGCTGATGCAGAAATTTTGGCTATGAAATTTCACAATACCATAACTAAGAAGTGGAGGCTAAATGTGGATGGAGCATTGTCCTGGCCAGGCTTACATTGTATCCAGTAGATGTTCTTCCAAAATGAAAGTTGTTGCTTCTAGACTTTTAGAGAAATATCCCCAAGCTATCTACACACTCTGCTCTTCCTGTGCCTTAACATGTGGTTGGCCAAATCAGTCCCTGTGGTGGGTGTCCGTTGCATTAGGAACAATGGAGGAAGTTGTTCTTTTTTCCTTCGGTCACCGCAACTGCTTTTAGAACTTGACAATGTCATTTCTGTTCTTTTTCAGAATAGTGAAGAGCGGGGTACCGCAACTGCTTTTAGAACTTGACAATGTCATTTCTGTTCTTTTCAGAATAGTGAAGAGCGGGGTAAAGAGCTGAAGGAAATTTGCCATTCTCAGTGGACAGGCAGGCATGATTTCTGTTCTTTTTTCAGAATGCTTTTTGAAATTTTAGTGGACCTCCTGCAAGCACTTGTATTATGCTTAGATAGTATAAACAGTGACACAAATATTAGATGGAATAACTGTATAGCTGGCCGAGCATTTATACTCTGCAGTGCAGTGACAGATTTTGATTTTATTGTTACCATTGTTGTTCTTAAAAATGTCTTGTCTTTTACAAGAGCCTTTGGGAAAAATCTCCAGGGACAAACTTCTGATGTCTTCTTTGCCGCCAGTAGCTTGACTGCAGTGCTACATTCTCTCAATGAAGTGATGGAAAATATTGAAGTTTATCATGAGTTTTGGTTTGAGGAAGCCACAAATTTGGCAAATAAACTTGATATTCAGATGAAACTTCCTGGGAAATTCCGTAGGGCCCAGCAAGGTAACTTGGACTCTCAGCTAAGCTCTGAGAGTTACTATAAAGAAACTCTAAGTGTTCCAACAGTGGAGCATATTATTCAGGAACTTAAAGATATATTCTCAGAACAGCACCTCAAAGCTCTTAAATGCTTATCTCTAGTACCTTCAGTCATGGGACAGCTCAAATTCAACACATCAGAGGAACACCATGCTGACATGTACAGAAGTGATTTACCCAATCCTGACACGCTCTCAGCTGAGCTTCATTGTTGGAGAATCAAGTGGAAACACAGAGGGAAAGATATAGAACTTCCATCTACCATTTATGAAGCCCTCCATCTGCCTGACATCAGGTTTTTCCCTAATGTATATGCCTTGCTAAAAGTACTGTGTATTCTTCCTGTGATGAAGGTTGAGAATGAGCGCTATGAAAATGGACGAAAGCGTCTCAAAGCATACTTGAGGAACACTTTGACAGACCAAAGGTCAAGTAATTTGGCTTTGCTTAACATAAATTTTGATATAAACATGATCTCTGGATTTAATGGTGGACACATATATCAAACTCTATACAACTAAGTCAGAGCTTCCTACAGATAATTCAGAAACCATTGAAAATACCTAAGAGACTTTTTTAATGGGCTTTGTCTTCTATGGAAAAAAAGCTATAAGATGTTGTGGGCCACTTAATCACTGAATATCTTTGCCTTTAGGCCTCCAGTTGAACATATTAACCATTGATGATCTGCTTATTTAAATGGTCCGTGTTTGAACACTCATGCTTTGAATACCTGTCTCTTCTTCCAAAAAATGGCATTGGAAATGCCATACTTCACCTCTGAATTATCTCTACTAGTGGCACTCTGGAATTGTTTTAGTTAAGTCATTTTAGATACAACATGTATTATCACTGTGGAAACAGTTACCAGGTACTGAGTTACCAGTTTCTTGAAAAAATGAATTTTGAGGAGATAAGGAAGAAAGGAATACATTTTATATAATGTTATAATGAAGCCCACTATTGACTTTTGACTAGTAGAAGTTCTAAGTGTAGTTTAAAAATCTGTTATAATGACTGTGGGGAGACAGAGGCAGGAGGATCTCGAGTTCAAGCCCAGTCTGGGCTACATAGCAAGACCCTGTCTCAAAAAAACCAAGGACTGGGATGGTAGCTCAGTGGTAGAGTGCTTGCCTGGTATGCACAAGGCTCTAGATTCCATCCCAGCAATGAAAAAAAAAAGATAAAATCTGTAATGAACAGTTAAGGGAATTACCAGAGAGTGAATTGTGAGCTCACCAAACAAAGATTCAGTGTAGACTTTGTCTTTGTCAAATGAACTTAAAGGAACAGTTGCAGTTCAAGTTGGAGTGGAAGGGCCTGCATTGTTGCTCTATACCTGGTTGTTGCTGTTTACATTCCTTTGTTGAGCCTACATTTCATAAGCTTTTCATCAGGTCAATGTTGGACACTTCTGCTTCAAGACAGAATTTATGCCATCCCTACAGGCAACTGGCTTGTCTGTTCTGTCTTTTTTCCATGATTATATATACTGCCTCATCTTGACTTATTAGAAAAAAACTACAAAAATAAATGTTTTGTGGTTTATTTAGAAATAATACAGAAAAGATTGCTGTTATTTTTGGTGAAAAAAATCAATTTTGTATAGTTTATTTCAATCTAAATAAAATGTGAATTTTCTTTAAAAAAAAAAAAAAAAAAAAAAAAAGAAAAACCTGGAGAAACAATGTCTTGACTCCAGCTTCCGAAGGTACTACTTTAAAACTCCAATGGAACCAACTGATGGGGTCATTTTGTCTGAAAAGCCACTAATTATGAAATGTCCTTCTACCTGCTTTGTAAGGAGAGAAGAAGGGAAGTGGATCTCTGCTCAGTAGGTCTCCTGCATGCCTCAGTGACAGGTCTGCCTTCTGATTCTACTTGATTTGCCTCCAAAGACAGTGCTTTGCTGCCAAGCTCTGATTAACCGAGTTAAGGAATCTGCCAGAAAAGCCTAGTTGAAATGTAGGTATATAGAGATTCTTTTTCTCTGTCTTCCTGCATAAAAAACTGACAAAGAAGACTTTCCTCAAATCAGGTGCTAAAAGACTCAGGAGAGAAACACTTATACCGGAAGTTTAAATCCTGAAAGGCTTCAAAATCGTGACATGCGGCCTAATCACTGAGGCTCTTCCTTTTGCCACCTGTGGGCACTGCTGGAGAATCACTTTCTCCTCTCAGGCAGCTATTGTTGATAGATGTAATTCTTCCTCTCACTTTTCCCAAATTCACCTTTTCTTCAACTCCGATGGCTACAAAACTTGCAACTTCCTCTGACTTCTTGTTCCTGGTGTCCACCAAGATTCCTGCACGCTTCTCTCAAAGGCAGTGGTCGTCATTCTTGGTTTCACAATAAAATTACCTGAGAAGCTTGTTTTAAAAAAATCTCAATGCCAGGCCAGTAAAATCAAATCTTTGGGGATGGGACTCGGGTGTCATACTGTTTATGCTGTCCAGGTGATCCAGGGTGTAGCCAATGTTGGAACCACTGCTCGAGAGGCCCTTGTGCTT